CAATAACTGGTTATCGCTAGGCGCGCCGTGAATTCGCTCTACTCGTCTATAAAAATTAAATAAATGAATCAGCTAAAAAACCACAATTGCATTGAGCTGTGGAGGATCACTAAGCAAGTAAGGATCTCTTTCTCTATTGGTGTCTACCAATGGAGAAAGAGATCCTTACGCGGAAGTGGATTGGTCACATTTTGAGAAAGCCCGATACCCACCTATCAAAGAGAGCACTGACCTTGGAAACGTCTGGCAAAAGGAAGAGAGGCCGCCCCAGAACAACCTGGCGTCGCTCGGTGGAGCAGGAGCTGAGCGTCTTGGGACTGACGTAAGAGGAGCTAGAACAGACAGCCCAAGACCGATGTAAATGGAAGGATTTGATGCGATCCGTACACCCCAGCAGAGGGTAATAGGAAAGAATGATAATGATGACATTGTACGGCGTCTTCTTGATTCTTATGTGCCCCTAGTCTGAGAACTTGATAGCATATTACAGACACTATGAGATCTTTTTCATGAATAAATAGTCCTGAGAGTTCTGTAGTAATGGTCCTCCAGTACCGGCGACTCGTTTAGCATTCATTAAGGGCATTCACGCTCCCCGATCCACTGATGACACTTTAATATCACTAAATTAGAATGGACACCAGTTTTTTTTTTTTTTTTGTAATTACAATGAATCATTATTACTGTCCGCAAATTAACTAACCATTTACTTAACTTTGAACGTCGTGGCCTAACGGATAAGACGTCCGGTGCGTTCGTGTTGAAGCGATGCAACGGTGTTCGAATCCCGCAGGCGGGTACCAATTTTTATAATGAAATACATACTCAACAAATGTTCACGATTGACCTCCACGGTGAAGGAATAACATCGTGTAATAAAAGTGAAACCCGCAAAATTATAATTTGTGTAATTACTGATGGTAGGACCTCTTGTGAGTCCGCGCGGGTGGGTACCATCACCCTGCCTATTTCTGCCATGAAGCAGTAATGCGTTTCGGTTTGAAAGGTGGGGCAGCCGTTGTAACTATACTTGAGACCTTAGAACTTGTATCTCAAGGTGGGTGGCGCATTTACCTTGTGAATGTCTATGGGCTCCAGTAACCACTTAACACCAGGTGGGCTGTGAGCTCTTCCACCCATCTAAGCAATAAATAAAAAAAAAACCTAGAAGTTACAAGTTTTTCTTTAGCCCTGCTCGTGTCTTATGCTGAGAGCATAAGACACGAGCAGGGCTCAAAACACTAACGATGAAGTTACGCCACACATGACCTGTATGACTCACGGCATCATGTCGTATGCCGGAGCCCTTATTATTATAGAAACAGTCCACGAACTGCCCTACCACTCCAGCTTATGGAGGGTTCGCAAGTGTTCTGATCCTAGCATTACACTGGAATGAATACGCTAATAGTACATTAGTTGAATCTCTGATCAAAGTCCGATATTACACACGGAGGGCACCGTGGACCCTAGCCACCTCCACGCCGTCCCATCTTCCTGGTGCTAGCCGCTAGATAGGCGGCTTTCGTGACCTTCACCGGGAGAGGCTGCCTTTTTACAGTGGCTGGGAATGGACGAACGCCCGCCTCCAACGGCGGAAGAAGAGCTCTCTCATGACGACGCCTTCTTTTGCGAGATCGTGGACTCACAGAATTCAAGCATTGCCTGCTAGGACTCCTTACTGCCGAGCATTGTAGCCATGGCGGTCGGCAATGACAAGCCCGGTCTTATTTGCGCGACCAGGAAACCGCAAAATCTAGCTGCATGTCTAGTTATCCAATAAATATGAAAGACAAACAGTGTGAGCTCGTCCAACCATTTAAGCAATAAATAAAATAAAAAAAACAGACGTAGGAGCTGTTTGTCAAAAGCTCTGCCCTACGACCTCTAAGTGAGACTTTGACCTCATCTTTCTAGTTTAGTCTGTGGCGTTAACGATATCGGGTCTCTGTGCTAACGCTCCTCATCAATCAACATCAGATGGCGCACGGGCTCGCCTGTTCATCTTTGATAGAACCAAAGAAACTCTTCTCCACAAAGAAGTACAGTATATTTTGATCATTTTACGAAGCCTACACATTCTTAAACCATGTACTTTATTATACAGGTCCGATATAACAAGGGTAAATTGATTGTACAGGCCGGTCGCTCGGTTGTGAAGATAACGGTTATTCAGTAAGCGATAGGCGACAGGACACCCGAAAGAAACTGGGGCGTTTGTGTGTAGTGGCACCAGTGTAACCATGATTATTGTTTGAAATTTACAGAAATGAACAGAAATTTACTTTTATTTATTTACTAGCTGACCCGGTAGACTTTGTAGTGCCTTTAATCGATAAATAAAAGACTTAAACTTTTGTATAAATTAAACTTAAAACAAACACAAGGAATCTGTCCGACGGGGGACGCATCAAAGGAAAAACAAAATTGTTATTTTTATTTAATTTTGAGCATTTTCATAATTATTTACCTTTTAAACCTTCTCTGGACTTCCACAAATAATTCAAGACCAAAATTAGCCAAATCGGTCCAGCCGTTCTTGAGTTTTAGCGAGACTAACGAACAGCAATTCATTTTTTTATATATAGCAGATTTTATTTATTGGGTACCGACATGTTATACATCAGCACAGAACATTACAGCTAACATATACATTTATTTCACACTAAATGCTAACACAATTACCGGTACCGACTACATGCATTGATTGACCACCATCTACAGTTTGACCACTATCGCCAGCCTCTAGTGAAGAAGCTAAGAAGCACTAACAAAAACGATCAATCAAATATCAAATCAAACTTAAGTTTCCAACTAATTTAACCGACTATTAAGTTAGTTTGATAAATATATACGATAAATATTGGTATTTTGTTACCACAAGACTGTCGCATATCTCTTATTCCCCAAAATAAATAAAATGAACACGACTTTGAACCACAAATCTCTTTAATTCATTTAATCGTATCTATGTTGTCTAACAAGACTGGTAAATAATTTGTTACACTAGTTGGATTAGCGACACTATGTACCTACATATGTATATATAAAATACACCCATTTTTTTGTAAAGACTCGCGCTTTATTTTATACTGTTGTTGGATTACTGAAGCTGCTATCTCAGAAGCTTTAACGCAAGTGAAAGATGAAATTTTCAAGGTATTAACTTAATCGGATGAACAATGCTGAACTGTATCAGATGAACTGTATAAAAAGAGAAAAACACACATAATTTTACTAATCGAAATTAAACCTCGTCACGCCTCGAAAGCGACAGATTGGTGGTAGGTGGTGGTAGTGCAGGTAGGGCTGATGATTTCTCACAAGAAGATCATAAAGTTGCTATCGATAAAGTATTTTCTCGGACGTCTGTTCTTTACAGTGTCTTTCACTTGTTCAAACATTTCATCCGCCACCTTTTTTACGTCTGTAGTACTTTTTATTTTTTATTTATTGCTTAGATGTGTGGACGAGCTCCTAGCCCATCTGGTGTTAAGTGGTTACTGGAGCCCATAGACATCTACAACGTAAATGCGCCACACACTTTTTCTTAGACAATCTATACTATCTATACTAATATTATAAAGAGGAAAGATTTGTTTGTTTGTTAGTTTTGAATAGGCTCCGAAACTACTGAACCGATTTGAAAATTTTTTTCACTGTTTGGAAACTACACTATTCCCAAGTGACATAGGCAATCATTTTATTTGAAAATTTAAGGATCCTTACTAAAACTCCAACTCCAATGTAACGAAAGTGTAAAAAATTACCTAAAATACTTCTTCTTTACATCGCGTGTCCTGCGAAAACTATTGATGATAGAATAAAATAATGTAAGTACTACGACTTTGTACAACACATTATTATTTACAAAAAGTTTCGCGACTGCATAATAATATGTCTAACTATTATAGTTATGCTGCAATAAGTGTAAGTTTATTTAAAAAAATAATATATAGCGTCCAATATCTTTGAAATTTTTGTTAAAGACCCGAGCTGAGCCGGAGCGGGCCGCTATTTATAATTATTTTTGCACACTAAATAATTTATCAAAATTATCCTGTGAACTCACATTGCATGATCACCCTATACCGGCAGTACCAAATAAACTGCGGCATAAGGCAACCTCCTGAATAACTTTTTGGCGGACTAGCGCCGGCCTCCGGACGGTTAGCTGATTTGGACCTTTATCTGTGGCGCTTTTTAAATGCTACAGATAATTTTTTCTTTCGTTAACATTTAATTTGTTACGTGTCAGCTTTCGTTTTGAACTATGCTCTTAATTTAATAGAATTACAGTACAATATGACATAATATATTAAAATATATATACACATTAAATAAATAATAATACATATTTACTAACAATCACGCCACGTTAACTGGTCTCGTGCTAAGTTCGTAAATAACTTGTGTTACAGGTACCAGATAACGGAAATAAATGTAAGATTTTTATTATACACATACATATATTTAATATACATCCATAACCCTGGAAACGACATTTATATTTACCATACAAATATCTTCCCTTGGCGGAATTCGAACCCGCGACCCCCTTGTGTAGTGACCATGTCACTTACCACTACACCAGACAGCCGTTCATTATGTAAACCAGACATTATGCCGACCAGACATTATGTAAAAATTATATGAATGTATGCATGTAATAAATGTATTATAATTATAATGAATCAATATAATATGTAGTGTATGTATTTATTATATGAACAAATTCTCTTAAGATCTTATTCTATAGAATTTTATCAAGTTGCATGTTCTAAAGAGTCACTTATGTAATTTTAGCACTATGCTAAGCTGTTGAGAGCAAAACGTTGACTTTTCTTATGCAGTATACAACAAGCAGTAGTACAATTCCACATGCAAACAAATCAAACTCGCTCCGGGCCTTAGGTGTAATATTTCACATTTGTTGACATTTGCGCTGAGCAAATACTACCTTTTAGATTTTTAACCATATCTGTACAATTTGTTCCAGCCGAACCTGAAGCAATGTGGAGTACTAAAGGACATCGGCCGTGAAGAGAAACCGTCCACCATGACTTCAGAGGAACCGATAGACGTTGTAAAAAAACCAGATGACAAAAAAACTGACGAATGCGCGAATATTGCGCAGGAAATAAACGAGGGCTCACAAACCGATAAAGAAACGGGGCAGAAAAGATCACTAGAGCTCATGAGGCTTGTCTACGAACTGCCCGAAGACATCAAAGAGATAATGCATACTGAAAACCCGACTATAGAAGTAACCGAACAAAAGAGTTGTGACGTACAGTGCGAGGAATATTATGGCTTAAGTCCCGAATCGGAAAGAAAACTATATGAAGCACAATCGGTGCATAAAAGTGAACAATCTAGTGATCAAAACAAGGAAGTGATAGATAGGATATCTCCCGAGTGCAGCGACGAGGACGTTCAGGAACTAAAAAAGTTTTTAGAGGGAAAACCTAAATTATTGGAGAGGTATTTAAAGGAATGCGCGAGTGCTGATGAGGTGAACAGGATACACAGTGTGACATCCAGCGCTCCTCTCTCTCCGAGGCCCCACCACGAGGCGAGGAGTACTTCGGTCACCTCAGACCTGTTCCAACTATGGCTGTCATCGTCTCCCGTTAAGGTGAGTGGTAAATGTTGCGTGAACGTGCTAAGAACAATAATGGGACGACGCTGTCGATGTTAATTTAGTGCGGTTCATTGTCAAGGCTACTTTTATATTTTTGCGAATCGTTTTGGAGTGTTGAATAATTCTAAATAGAATGACCAAAACTAGATGGAGCGCTATTAGTCACAGAGGCACTTATGTGTCTTTTTTAAAAACACAGTTAACCTAATAAGAGCCCTTAAATAAATCCGGTTTTCGAAAGTCCTTTATATAGGCCTTTTTTTTTTTTTTTTTTTTTNTGTAGCCCCCGGTGCTGGTTTTGGTCCGCGTCGCTCAATCTCTCCCGCCGTAACACAACGGGAGAGAAGGAGCGATGCCCCTGTGACTATTGCCCAGAGGCCCGTGATCCGCCACCTACGGACGCGCCCGGTCGAAGTCCAGCAACTCCCCCGCAGACGAGACCCACAGCACGCAGAGTGCGCACCGCAAGCCCGTCCACGACCGGGCCTTTATATAGGCCTACAGTACCTGTGTAACAATAATAATATTTACTGGGCTATAAGGATGAATTCTGTTCAAGTGAAGGTGGCTACAACATAGAAACTAGATAAATAAATTGAGGCTTCTAATAACTTGTGTTGATTGTGTATGTGTGATCATAATCCATCCAAGATTTCCGTTTGGCCCCTTTAGAAGTGAGTCCCACGTGTGGCCCACGTGTGGCCCACGCTTTCTCGCACGAGCATTTCGTAGAAAAGATTCCTTACCCAAAAAGAAATAGGTCGCCATAGTCACAGAAAATCATTTCGCCAGTCGCTTTTCAGTAGCAAAAAAAAACGTAACTTACTCGTATTCTGTCTCAATACATAAACATTAAATTTCCGAAACACTAAATTGCCCACCGTATGTTTCTAAACACGTGCTTACGTCCTATCAGCACATCCAATAAGGGTTGTTTCCGTTCGTAACATAATACTATAATTGTTTCCCTCCCCGATAACACGGCCGACAATAAAATGATTGACATCACTCGACCCAGACCGGCGCGGCGGCGCGGCGTATACACTCGCACTTTGTAATTTTACAAAACGTTTGTGTTGCTCAGTAATTTGGTAAGACGCATATCATTCGCCATGCGTTCATTCGGAGGTTAATACTCTTCTGAAATATATATTAATTTACCCAATGAATGGTTTTATATCATAGTGAGACAAACAATCTTGCAGCTATCCTGGAGTTCCGTGCTTACAGGGGCTAATGGACATGACATCAAGGATACCATCCAGCCCCTTTCGTAACTTGAACACCAACAGCATCAGTGACTAACTGCCGGAATAAACAACGTGTTTTTTTTTAAATCCTGAAATAAATTAGAAAATATGGACTTTTATGCCGATGTTAACATATTTTGTGGAGAGGCTTTTATAATAATCTCGTTGAAGTGGACTTCGTTATCACTGTGATATCGCCTGTTACGGATACGGATAAAACTATTTATCATCCATGTACATGGACATCACTCGAGTGCTTGTTACTTGACGCCTCGCCCGTATCTTCACGGCGCCTTCATAGTCGCGCTATGGTGTGCAGAGGTATATCAATTGACAATCCGCTTTCATTCTGAAAACCCCTTGATTTTCCGCAGTCATAAAAAATGTATTAACTATTCCAAACGTCGATCTGGAGGTAACGACAAAGGGAAGACTTTCCACCGAGCGGGTGATATTGCTTGGTAGACCGACGCGACGGTCCAAGTGTTGTTGCTCGGAACTTTTATACATGGTAGCTTATCTTGAAATTGTCATTAGCAAGATTCAGGCATCTGTCAAATATCTTATGTTCTATGATGGCTATGGCCACATTACTCCCTTCCGAGACTGGAGATCGTGCCAGTTAGCGTTGTCCGTGCTAGCTTGCATGTGCCAGTGCTGCTCGAAGTTTGCGGTGAGCCGAGATTGAGCTTAAATGGTGAATGCGTCAATACTGTGAGCAGTCCGTGTAGTACACAGCGGCGTAATGAGGCAGTGAAGATGCGTGCCGAAGGGCCAGGAAGTGCGCAGAATCGGTTGCGATGGTCCTGTTGAGGCTGCGATGATGGCTTGCTGTGGTACGACATTTGATGGCTTATTTTTAACTGAGAGAGCTGCGAGAACTGTGGTAGTCGACGTTCTTGACGCACTGATGATGAAATGTGAAGGCTTCAATTGATCCGTCGCCCAGTTTGAGAATTACGACGAAGAGAAGATTTGCCAGCGAGCGCGTGAAATTCTTAGGTCCTAACGTTATTGTTCAGTACTTGTTTGTATGGTATGCAAGCTTATCATGAAAGTGTCGTAATCGAGATTCAGGCGTCTGTCAAATATCTTGAGTTCTGTGATAGCTATCACCATATCGACACTTATGATTTACTTGAACCGTTCCAAAGGACACGAGACAGACGTAGCTTGACGACGAAATGGTATCCGTGAGATTCGGCTACCGCATACCTTTAGGTGGGTCGTGAGCTCATTTACGATCTAACAAAATAGGAGATTAAGGCTGTTTGTTTGTTAGGCCCTAGAGCTAGCCCTTATTTGCGATACCATTGCTCGAGAAATAAATGGAAAAAGCATTTACTTTCAACTGTAACCCCTCGCTGCCTGTCTACATAATCAAACCTAACCACATATATACGTCGACACAGTGCCACGTCGCGTTGTATCCGGCGCAGCCCGGTCATAAATAGTTATTGATGTTTCGTTATCGGCTGTAACCCGTATTGACTATCGTCCGCTAGTTTCCTCAAATCCAGCTTCTTCAAATTACTCCAGTACTGGGTATGTTGGTAAGTTAACACACTATTCATTCGGGTGTTTCTGTACATCCGATGAAAAAAAGAAATGCGGAATTATTTTTGCGTGTAGTTTACATTCCTCTTAGATATTTTGCTCTTTCCGAAACTGTAGTGGACACAATTAAGATTTTTAAGCGCTGGTGCTTTTTTCGGATAGAGGGATTGCTGTCGGTGCAGAAGCCTTCGCAGCTTTACTCGGGGGGGGGTGGCCGACAACTTTTTTTATTTATTTTTTATTACTTAGCTGGGTGTACGAGCTCACAACTCACCTGGTGTTAAGTGGTTACTGGAGCCTATAGACATCTACGACGTAAATGCGCGACCCACTTTGAGATATAAGTTCTAAGGTCTCAGTATAGTTACAACGGCTGCCCCACCCTTCAAACCGAAACGCATTACTGCTTCACGGCAGTAATAGGCAGGGTGGTGGTACCTACCCGTGCGGACTCAAGAGGTCCTACCACCAATAAATATCGCAGTATTGGGACCGCGACAAGGTTGAGCAACTCAGCAGCTTTATCTACTGCGCAACGAACACCGTTCGAAATTAAGGTTACGGGCCGTGAAGTGGACAGAGGAGTAGCTATATAGCTTACATTACTTTAGTTAAAAATTCAGCAGCGCATACTAAGTACGTACATACGCATAAGGTTATAAGTATATATAAGCAATGAAGTAAAGAAAATTTGTGAAAATTTGAGTATGTATTTTACTTTTTTTATTTCTTTCCGAGGCAAGCGAGCACATAAGTCCGATGAGTATTATTAAGTTTTAAAGTGTTAATTGATGCACATATGTATCGTGTTGCTTTGGGGTTTTTGTTTCTGTGTACCTAAACTTAAATAACTAAAATTCTTTTTTTTCTTTTGTTCACTTTCTACTTATATGTGATTTTGATGGTGGAAACTTGTTTGGTTATTGTTTTCGCTATTTTTTTTAATATTACATGTAATAATAAATAACTAAATATTACCATATGCATACCACCACAGCTTTAGGATATCTTTGGCTTTATACCGGCTTAATATTTAAAATTTAATCGTTTTTTTTTTAAATAAAGACGACAATCTCATAAAGCATAGTTGTGAAAAGCTCTTCCGCTCTCCACGAGGGGAAACAATTTTAGGAGTTTTTTAAACAATTTACCGATTTGAGAGGTTCTCGAGTACTCCAAAAAATATTATAAATAATAATTCACTCAGTGTAAAAAAAAGGTTTTCTGTAGATTTATTTCCAAAAATATTCAGATTTTGTTTTTATTTAAAATTCAAAAAGCCGGTTTTAAGTCTGTACAGCGACCACACGAGCCCTGCTATATCTGATATTAAATAAAATATATTAATAACAGAGGTTAAGATTGGAGAGTCAACATTATTTTCATAATTCCCTTCTTCTTGAGAATCTTTCTTTAATTTTTCGAGTAATATTTAATAACTAAACACCTAAAATTTATATGAATAACTTTTGAAATTGTTTATGGGGGTGCGGGTTTGAGACTGTGAGTACGATGGGCACTTACTTCAACGCTCTCCAGCGAACACTCGTTGATACAACAACACAAAGAAAGGCAACCACAATACACATTATCATGAGGAAATACTTTTCCTCAAATCTTGCGATTTATTGACATTTTGGCGATTTTGAAACGGGACATTATAATGAATTGGTAACAGAGTTGATTGAAAGAGGAAGTGTAATGACCAGTGATAGATTATTCACATCAAACTAGACGAGTGGGATGAGTATATGACTGTGTAACCCTCAGTGCTTGTAGTGAGGCAATGTTATGGAAAAGGAGACAAAAATAGATAACGATTTGCCAAAATGGCAAAATGTATGCCAAAGAAATAATAATGTGAGGTAATTTGTAGACCGGGCGTGATGGGGACGCGGCGACCTATGTGTTAACAAATTGCAAAGTTATTGTTCCTATTATGAAGTTGTTGACACAGCATAACACTTAGTACAGAAGTCATAAATTAAATGTAAAAATGTACCGTCGAATGTTACGCATTAGTTGGACGCAGAGGGTCAGGAACGAAACCGTGCTTCAGCGCCTTCATATGTCCCGGAAAATGTTGCCTTCTATCAAAAAGCGCAAGATAGAATATCTCGGCCACGTGCTCAGGAACGATCGATACATGCTGCACAGTTGATAATGATGGGCAAAGTGGACGGAAAG